GAACTCTGCGGTAGCCACACTAGAACTGACTGTGAATAGCCTTCGCTGCTCCCTATGTAGCCTCGATCGGACAATACGGGAAAACGGCCACGTAATAGGCACCCTTGTTGCTAGCCACGCTGTGTTGCTATGTAACGCTAGCGGAGGTCACCGTTGTTACTATCGTAACGTCGCCGCTGTTGATTCGCGTTGCCTAGCGACCGCGATATCCCTCGGTGACGTCGCCGCGGAGGGGAGTGGCGGGGCCCCGCCTATTACCGTAGTAACGCGGGCGTTACGTTATCGCCACGTACCGCTGGGGCGGTAGGGGTCAACATGTCACAATACATATAGAAAAACTGTTGATGAGTACAGGCTTTAATTATCATGAATTTCAAAATAACTAATAATTATTCTCTTTACTGGCAATTATAAAATGTGTATGCCAGAGACAGCGTTGATAGTTCGGCAGCAGCCGCATCCTCTTCAGGCAGCACTGTACATGCGCAGCTGAAAGCAGTGACTTATGTCATCTCATTGGCACCTGTTGGGCAGGGAGCAGGCAGTTTGTCGCCAGACTCAGTGGTGATTGACGGGTATGCCTGTTTGATGTTGTGTTCTTATGCATTCAACGTTGCAGTGCAGTTGTGTTTATTTGTTTACCTCTTGAAGTTGACTTGATTATGAACAGTTGATCATGAAGCGTTTCCTGATTAGTGATAGAAATGAAGACACCAGTGCTCCTTCAACTAGTGGTGGGAAAGAAGCTACTCGGAGTGTGAAAACGAGTTAGGTACGATGAGAACTATTTATCACTAGGCTTTATGAAAACTGTGATCAATGATGAAGAACGTCCGCAATGTGTAATCTGTCTAAGTATTTTAGCTGCAGATAGTATGAAACCTAATAAATTAAAGAGACATCTTCAAACCAAACATCCAAAGTTTACAAATAAACCAAAAGATTTTTTTTTGTTAGAAAGCTTAGTGGTTAGAGTCCACCCAACAGAAATTTGCTAAAACAACAGATGTGACTTCTAAGGCCCTTTTAGCCTCTTACCAGGTTTCTCATAGAATTGCTAAATGCAAAAAACCACACACAACTGCAGAAACACTGATTTTACCAGCAGTGATGGACATAGTATCAACAATGCTGGATGACTCTTCTGCTCAACAATTGAAAAATATCCCCCTCTCTAATGACACAGTTTGTAGAAGAATTTCAGACATTTCTGATGATTTACATCAGCATTTAATTGAGAAGTTGCATAACAAGTGCTTTGCACTACAAGTGGACAAAGCAACTGATATTCGTAAAGATGCTCATTTGATTGCATACATTCGTTTTGTTGATGAGTGTAATATGCGAGAGGAATTGGTTTTCTGTGAGCCTATCTTGAAAATAGCAACAGCTGAAAGCCTTTTCGACATGATTAATGCTTTCTTTAATGAAAATGGGATATCATGGGATAAGTGCACTGGAATATGTACAGATGGAGCTTGTTCAATGTCTGGAGTCTGTGCTGGATTACAAGCAAAAATTAAAGCTCTTGCTCCCAAAGTAGTATGGACTCACTGTATGATACATCGGGAGGTTCTGGCAGGTAAAGAACTCAGCCCACCCTTTCATGAAGCGCTGCAGACAGCTGTAAAAACTGTCAATGTTATCAAGGCAAATCCTCTGAAGTCTAGACTTTTTAAAATGCTGTGTGAGGAAATGGGAGCCGAAACACTGCTCTGTTAGTAGTTACTATAGGATTCTGACGATGGTGTATAACACACTGATATGTTAGGTTTTTGGACTTCATCCATCGTCCCGGTTTTTAAGATAACAAATAAAAAAAAAAACATGACGTTTCGGAAACAGATCCAGTTTCCGAAACGTCGTGTTTTTTTTATTTGTTATCTTAAAAACCGGGACGATGGATAAAGTCCAAAAACCTAACATAACACAGCTCTGTTGTTTTTTAATGATGCTCGATGACTTTCAAGAGGCAAGGTATTAAAGAGAATGTTTGAGCTGAGGCATGAGGTGTTCTGTTTTTTAAATGGGGAAAATCACTCACTGGCAGACAGTTTCAGCAACAAGGATTTTTTATTGAAAATGGCTTACCTAACAGATATATTTGAGAAACTAAATATCCTCAACACTTAACTTCAAGGGA